CAGGAAATCTCTGGATTTCAGTCTCTGGGGTTAAAAGAAGACCACAAAATATAGTAAGTCTCATTCATAATAAAATTACAGGATGCTGTAATACATCTGGGCTACTTTTTCATCTTGCAGCCTCTCCAGTGCTGAGGCAGAATGGCAAAGGCGGGTACTGAAACACACACCGCTACCAGCCTGTTTGTACATGTACACCAGACAAATAATTCCACGCTCCAAGGCTGTCAGTCATGATGAGCAAAATAGACACGTGTGTATATATATACATATATATATAAAATTTGAATCTGAATTCGCATGAATGTGAAAGGAGAGTCAAACCTTTACCTCTGCATAATTTTTGAGTACTTGTCTACACAAGGAGCAGTCAAAACAGAAAAGGAAATAAGTAGAGTCAGCCATAACCTAGTCATGGGGCTTACAGACAAGGAGGAATTCCCGTATAGCCCTCCGAGCTGTTGACCCGGTATGCAGAAATAGCCCCTTTTGAGCGCTACGTTCACGGGTCGGGAGGTATTCAGGGCTGCGTGTGAAAGAGATGAAATAGCTGAGCAGCACAGCACCGTTTGCGTAAGGCCACGCTTCTCATGGGGGTAGCATTGATGAAGGTAATGGTGGAGTAGGTGAGTGAGTACTTTAGCCCCCTGAATCACCTGGACAAGGCCCCAGCTAGAGAGAGAGACATTTGATTCCTACTTGTCAACCTGCACTGGCGAGCAGCCCTTTTACCATCATTGCCTTGTTCCCAGCATGTTCTTGTGATCAGAGCAGAGATGCCTGGGTGGCCCTCAGTTTCTTTTTATCACCTGTGGCTGCAAGATGGCACTGGCCAGCATCCGTATCTTCACACGCCTCAACTTTCCGTCTCTCCGTAATTCCTGTAAATACCAACAGCACTGTCTAGGAGCTGATGTGTCAGCTAGCCTAACAGCTGGCATATCTCCTTGTCAGGCTTCCATTCCCCCTTCATACAGGGCATTTTTTTCCTGGTGTCTGAGCTTTGAGACTTAAAAACCCCACTGTCTGGGGTTTGTGCACTCTTCCACTTCTAAGGAAGAGTCCCTTAAAACAGCGAGCATTCTGAATCCCCTTTTATATCTGGGTCAATACCAAATCCTTTGTTAATGTAACACCTCAAAATCCTTCCTAAAACGGCCATCACGATCTTGATTCAGTCACTCTTGAGTTTATTGTTTCTGAATCCCTGTGTAAGTCTTTCTCTGTTGATGAGTGATCTAGTGAGATTATAAATCATTTGTTTGAGACTGCTCATCCACCGCTCCAGCATACATTCTAGTTAGGATTGATGACAAGTGTCTGAGAGAAATAAATATTGCTGGTTGGTGAGCACAAGTTATGAAAAATACCACCAAACGTATTTACATGAAGGAAAAGCCTGAAACAACGAGTGCTAGAAAGATGCCGCCTACCAAGTGATAGCATCGAGTCTCTTGCTGGTGGTGTGTGCAAAAGTTATTCTGTGCTGGGTCATGCTAAACCTCAAGACAGCTTTTCTTGCAAAATAGGAAAGTCCACGCAGAGGGCAGGTATTAAAGAGTTATTAAACTCTAATTGTGTCTCATACCTATTGCACGTGACTTCCCGCACGGAGACAAGCCTTAAGAAAAGGTCACAAGAAGGTGGCGCTTTTGTCACCCAGCGTATGAGACCACACCTCCATTTACAGGCTTTTGAGCCCACGTAATTTAATTAACCTCCTCTCTTGCCATAAAGCAGCATGGCTGACTGAAAGACTAGGTACCTGTGCAAAGAAATTGTGGGAGAGCCACGATAGCAGCCAGCTCCCTCATGCTTGGGCAGTGGGAATATGCAGAATCCATCCATCAAATTATGAGCGCTCTCGCAGCAAGGAAGAGACAAAATAATCCCTGCTGGGTCAGGAGACAGTTTGGTTATGAAAGCAGTACATCTGTCAGCAAATATTCCTAGGTGAAGAAGTGATATAGCAGACAGACTACCCCGTTTTTTTTATCATACTGTGAATAAGAGCCCAGACACTCATTTGTACACTGCAATTTAAGGGGGTAGGGTTATTGGTCAATAAACCTTTGTAGGAGGCAAGAACAGCTGTCCTTTAACCATCTCCTCAAATAGACAGGCCAAAAGCTAGAGTTCCTTTCAAACATACTTACATTTTTTTGCTTGACTAAATTGTTATTTGTAAACGTATTCAAATCTCCGTCATTCCTCGGATCCGTGGGAAAGTCAGACAGGGTGCTGACAGAGGGATCATAATCGCTGCGGTCTAGCCAAGACAACATTAGCACCTGGATTTTGACAATATTGTCTGTTGGTTCCTCACGAAGAGTGGCTTTCCTGCTGGATTTGACAGCCCAGGAAAAGAGAGAATACTGCATCTCCACCTTTACCTCTGCCCACTATTAAAGACTCGCTGATTTTTTTCCACACTCTAATTAAATCCTTGAAGGTCTTCATTCAGCAGTGAGTAATCTACTACCCGTTTGGATCTCAGTTCTGTTCTTAAAGGCCTAAAACACTCTTATCTTGAATCCAGGCCAATGCCTTGTTAATTATGGCTATGTCTGAGAAGATCATCTTGGCTGTTACTATATCAGCAAGACAAAATGAAGAAATACAATACGTGATGAAAGACACACACCCTTTATAATTTTCCATCTCGATAAAGTGTTTCTCAGGCCTCACCCTAAATTCTTCCCATAGGTGGTTACACAATGTTATTTGAATGAAGTGACCCACTTACTTATTGATTTTCTTCCTTGAGCTTCTTTCAGAGAAGGGAGAAGCCAGGTTGCATACTTGCTAGATTTAGAAAGTATTAGGCCTTTTACTTGCAAAGAACTTTGAAACTTCCTTAAGAGTAATCACCAAAACACCGGTGGGTCATCAGATTCAAAGTCTATATAATCGCGTTTTAAATTATATTAGGATTTGTTCCAACATAGCACAATTAGATCTCATCCCATTTTCTGCTCGTATCAGGCAAGGGTTCATTCTCTTAGGCTGAAACTGCTGATGGGGCTTTTTTTGCGTGTGTCATTACTTTTGATGACTATGAAATAGCCACCTGATGATCAGTCCAGGTTTCCATTAAGCACTTTCCATGACAGAAGCACCAATATTAGACAAAATGACTTTTTAAACTGTGGGCTTTTTTCTGCTGGAGCAGTACCCTGACCTCTTTAGCTGGCCTCTTTAGTTTAGCTGACAGATTAGGGTTGTGTGTATTGTGGTTGCCTATGTGCATCTACACAGAATATTTATTGACAAGCGCTTCCCGAGAAAAGTTACTTACCTGCACAGTATCTGGAGGGTTTGCTGTGTGTTGCCTACACACACACACTCAGAACGTCCTATAACATTTGGATTTTGCAGAGGGAAGACACTTTTTGCACCTCTGTTGTACCTTGTGTGGAACAGGAGGGTACTCAGGATACCGGACATCCTAGCTGGACAGTGCAGCTCAGAGAACCCCGTAGCTGCATGAACGTACGGAAAAAGAGACTCTATGGATACAACATGCAAGGCAACCAGAATTCTTCAAGATAATTCAGCAGCTCTTCTTTTACTATTTTTCTTTATCTCATTTTCTCTTTCGTTTTTTCTTTCTCTTTTTTTTAAGTCATCGTTCTACCGTGCACAGACCACCTGGGCTCCATCCCATTGGTGTTACCTTTTCTTGTCAATCCCCCTCGCCACTTCTCCTCCTCAGAGCTTTTTATGGATTCCTCCTCTGCCGGTAGCAGGTTTAAGACCTGCCAAGTTGCATAACCCTAACTGTGCCTCTGTTTTTTTCCCCTGTCTCTTGCTCCACCCCGTGCTAATTCCGCACATTCCACCCAGCCTTCCCCTCCAACCACTCCCTTCCTCTCTTTTTTTTTATTCTCGCCTTCTTAGTATCTTCCTTCACGCCATCGCCATCCACGCAGAGCAAAGGCAGCCTCCCACCCTGGGTTAGCTGTGCGGCCTCCCGCTTCCTTCTCAAAACAAAGCGAGAGCGCGGCAGAGCCCATCTGTTCCCTGAATCATCCCGGCTGTGACAGGCACTTTCCATCTGCCCCAGCTCGCGGCTGGACGGACTGCGGTTTGGAAGTTTAAAGTGCACCCATCTAAGCCAAACCTCGCTGAAAACACAGCCGGACTCTTGCTGTTGAATTCAGGCCATCAATCATCTTGGGCTGACGTGCGCTTTTATGTTCCAGTTTTTTTTCCTTTCCCGTTTTACAGCGTAATGTACTTACACAGCTCGAGTGTTGCATCCAATGCAGGTACTGAAGCCCCAAACTGGTGTTTTTCCTGGACGTCGTGTCTATCTTTTGACACAGGGACCTTCAGATGAAAACAGTTTACCTACAAGTAAGCAAAATTTCTGGGGTTTGTATGACATCGAAATGCAGCCTAGGATACAAAGGCTTCATTTTTGCCCCCAAATGTACGTGTTGCCAGCAAGGTCACTGACACTGAATTCAGCCTGCAAGCTGCTTCTCCTGTATATACAAACATAGCAGTTCTGACTCATATTGACCGGATAATATGTTCAAATCATTTGTTATTGAGACCCCAACCGTGGGGAAGTTGTGGAAGGACAAACCACACTGAAATCTGGAATCAAAGCCGCAGGAAAACGGCTGAAAATACTTTCTTCTCAATATACATTCACATATAAAATTAATCCACGGCAGTGTCCTGTCCAGTATTCGTGAATTAAACTGATATTTGTACTAATACTTTTTTGTCACCTGCGTAACATGACTTGTGTTGTAAATACATACTTACGAGTATATATACTCAGAGACCAAATATATACTTAAGGAACAAATGTTGCAGCAAATGCATGTCTTTTATGTACAAAGCAGCTTATTGACTTTGCTGGTTTATTTTTCCCCTACTTGAAAAGCTTGCTACCTTAGGTTACAGTAGGGACAAAACAATGAACTTGAGCTTTAATATGAGATGATTTAGTATTCCGTCATTGTTTCTTGACTTAAATGCCAAAAATGGCCTTAACGCAACCTTTAGTGCAACTGCCAGGTGAGTATATGAGCAGGTAAGACATTGCTGGACTCCAGCCGCCCGGCATGGCCGGTTGCCCAGGCCCCCATGGGCATCTGTGGCAAGAGCTCCAGCGTGTGTGCGTAATAATAGAAAAGATTAATGTTGCGGTTTTACACACTCCTTCAAATAAGGCCTTGCAGTTCCTCCTCTCCTGATGAATTCCCACTTGCTGTCTCATTTCCCCTGGGCACAGGTGCCTTGCTGGAGAGGAGCCACCAAGTTGCCCAAGAGCACGGAGGCACGGAGCTCAGGCTGGTCATACAGGCTGAAGGCAGCGCACAAAGATCCCCCGTGAAGCTTCAGCATCCCGGCATTTGGGGGTTTACTTCGAAAATTACGACGGCACAAAATGTCGGTGCTTGTTTCTCTGGTTTAACACACCCCAGTCAAGTCTGTCCTGGGAGCTCAGTGGAAAACCACCCTTGCTGTTATGCCAGCTGACTGGAAAACAGCGCCGTCCCGCCTCCTGGGTGAGGGGAGGAAAAGCCCAAAATGGCAGCTGGGTGCAGGTCCAGAACGTCATCGTCATGCCAGGGAAGATTTCTTTGCCGTGGGCGCCGATTTCTGCTGCAACCGGCCCCGTGAACACAGACTTTTGTAGTGCCCCCGACCCCAATTTATAAAGTACTCTAGGTATTTAAAAAAAAAATATTTAAGTATATTAAATTGCGTTCAGCAAGAAAAACAAGAAATACTTCCTATGTGCAGAGAAGGGAGCTAAAGGAACAGTAAGAATGCTGGCTTTTGCATTTAATTAGTTTTACATTTCAGTTTCAGACTAGACCTAATCCTCAGTTTTAGAAATCTCCCTAGCATAACGGTGCTTGTAGCAGCAAACAGAAAATGGCCCACGCGGGAAAAAGTATAGCGTAGGATCAAGAATAATTGTAATAAGCCATACTTTTTGTGTGTCTAATAGCTCTGCTGTATTTAAATGTGATTTATCGATACACTGATTTTTTTTACAATAGTTCCTCTTTCTGATAATGAAGACCAGTTTAGTTTTCTGATGGCAATTTAAAGGCCACAGGTGGGCAAAATTTTACACTTTCGTATAATGTAGATTTTTGGCACCTAACTTTGCCATTACTAACATTTTTAGAGGAAAAAAGAAACCCCGGGAATGCTTATTTCCTGGAGGCATACATACTTCTATTGCAAATATCATGCAAGTACATTTCTGGGGTGAACATCCTTCAACTTTTTGCAAGTTATTCTGAGGGATCGTTGTATTTCAATAAACTCATACAAACACAAACATCCTCTGGTATGGCTAATTAGAGTTAGGGGAAAAAAAGACGAGACTATTCCTTCATGCTCGAATTTAAATGAATCAAATACAAATAAGATAATGACATTTGGGGAGAAGAACTGCTTGAAGCTTTATCATTTATTTTATCTCTTAGCAGTGTTATGCTACAGGCCTGATGATAACATCATGATGTGGGTGGCCACGTATTCCTATTCCCTTAAACACATATTTGCCTCCGAGTGCAATTACAGGTGTTTAATAACCTTGCACTGTGTGGAGATACACAGATGGGACTACAATACGGATGTGAAGCAAGAGGAGGAGGCTATCTGAGAAATATGCATCGGTATCAGGGAGAAAAAAATCCTTTGAGTACCCCCTATAAATATCACCTACAATCTAATTTTCAGAATAGGCAATTTCAGCACAGCCATACCTGTGTGGCATAATGCAACTCCTTTTCTCCATCTTAAAGGCTTAAATTTTTTGCTATCGCTGATAGTTATCTCGGGTAATTTAGCATATACTCCAGATCACAGAGGTACTCTTTGACATAAATTCAGTCTGAAATAGATCGCTAGTGCTTGATCTCTAGTATGCATAAAAGAGTACAGATATGCAAGTATGTTGCATTATGCAATGCTATACATAATATTTTGCCCTCCTAATGGATTCCTTAATTGGGTCTTCTTAGCACTATGCTTAAATCTCATCATTTTATTGATGCTTACTGACGTTTCGCAATTTACCTTGTAGTAAATTAATGCCCTTCAGGTCAGCGATCTAAAATCCAGTGACAGCTGCTCGGCCAAGGGCAGCTGAACCAGTGTATTTTTAATTCTCACAAGAATGAGGTCTCACCTACGTCAAATGGAACACGAACATAGAACATTAACATAAAAACTGAGATCAAAATCAACAATTAAGAAACAGCAGAATCAATTTGCCTATCTTAAACTTGTTTTCCTAATATGTTCGCATTAGGATCTAGTTCCTGGTTATGCTACCATATGTTCTTGTTTTTCACAAGATCCCAACCTTCACTGAAATAAACAGCCTGGCTCCTGTGACACAGAATTTAAGGCCAACAGCTTTAAGGGAGTGTTTTACAAGTATTTAGAGACAAAGCTGCTGATCAAGTGCTTGATGCTGCCCCTGAACACAGAGATGCCAACATCTGGGTGCAGGCGGTGGCAGTGCTTAGGATCACGGTTGACTGTTAACAGGGAAGCGACGGTTAAGACTTTCAGTGCCAAACGTCAGTGTGTATGTTCGGTCCACAAAGATGCAACGCAAAGAAGAAAGCAAGGTTCCCTCCACAGGTCCAGGCAAGCACGTTTCTTCTTGTGCTTCCTCCATGCATCTCTGCAAGACGTACTGCACCGTTGCTCTCCTCTCACCCACGTTTGAGGGACATGGCAGGAATCCAGGTGGCAGATGCAGCACGTTTCTCGTGACTCGCTGGGACAAAACAGAGACTGTTGTTGGAAGGTGGTTAAAAGGGACCTACCTGGCCATGAAGTAGGCACGAAAAGGCTCTGGCTGGGGATGGAGGTGAGCAATGCAAAGAGGAGGAGCTTGTGGCTGCTGGTGGCCACCAGCTGCTGACTTGGCTCAGCCCCAGATGAGCCAGTCCCTTAAACACTCTCTACTCTGATTGCCTCCCATTCTGGGGTTCTAGCTGAAAAACATGATAGTGCTGTTCGAATGATGTTTGAGTTATTGAAGCAATAGTTACCCACATATTCGTATTACTAGACATTGGTATGGAGCTCAGGTTTAACATAGCGTTTCAAGTTTTGCAAAACATCTCATTGAAATGGCTAGAACCATAACAAATGGAAAACTTTTGAGCACTCTTTACATTTTTTATAATAGTGTGATGCAAAATAAATTTAAAAAACTGGATATAACCCAATACTCTTGCCATTTTTTCTACTAGATTGCCTTCCTTTGCACACTTCTTTAGAACTTACTTAAGAAACACCGAGAAGTTCCTCCTTTAGCTACTCCGTTGCTCCTCACATTAACTGTCAGCCTACCAGCTCTACATGGAAAGAACTAATCTAGAAAATGTTCTGTATCTTCTAGCTATAGTAAAAAAATAAAAATATGTGTAATAAAATGAACCCACTACAGTTTAACAGGACAGCAGGTCTGCTGCGGTACAAAGCTTTATTCACTTCTGAGGGAGTGAGAGAAATTCTCTAATTTTGGAAAGGAACAGGACAAATCAGTCTGATTTCAGCCCAGTGAATCTCTGCCTTCTGCCCTTCCTCCTGTTCCCATGCAAGCTGCTTCAGCAAGCTGCGCTGCCACAGAAGTCTCCTCTGTAGGATATGTACGGTGCACAGCCTTCTTCTTTACAGTCTACTGTAACTGAAGACAAGGCTTGGAAACAGAAGGAAAACATTACTGAAATCATTAAGTTTAACATGAACCTCTTTTCAGGTATCTACTAATATTTCAGGTAATTGCAATAACTGCAGGTACTACTATGAATGCCATGGAAAGCCCGGATGTCAGAGACATAGACCACCTGCCATTAACCTGCAGAATCGTTAGTCTGCACTGAGTTAAGACAGAAAATTCCTGAGCGAGGTGTTACATTTCCACCCTGTTTTACTCTGCTGCTGTCCTTCATTCTATATGGCAGGGGAGCATCTGACTGTTAGAGATTAATTAGTAATTAAGAGTTGGTTCAAAAACATCACAAGTTCAGAGAAGAAAGCAACCTAATCATGTTTGTTAGAAAATAGTTAGAAATACAAATTCCAGTCTCCTGGGATTTTCTTTCGAGCAGGAAATGTAAATAACTTTATTTTGAACACATCAAATTGACCCCACTAACTAGATGTAATAAACAAATGGAGATATTTAAGCTGACATTTGAGCAGTGTCAAAGCCTTCTAAGCTTGTTCTGAGTAGATTAGTAGATAAGTGCTAGCCTTCCTATTCTGGGATATGTTCCAAGGCAAGCATGAGGACTGATGATTTCATTTAACTCCAAAGTGGACAATGCTGTATATTTAAATAATGCAAATAATTTGTGTAATTCTTATGACAAGCTACCAGTTGACACTGATGGTGTTGGGAAAAAACACTCTCTGCTCGGCACTGTATCTGAGCGTAAAAACTACAGTTCCTCTACCGTTCAGTCAGTATGTGAAGCTGTAATTCTTAGCACGGGGTATGTAGCTTTCTCAAAAACACATAGTGGATCTCATCCGATCTAATCCCAGAAAAACTGACTTAATAAATCTTTTTTGAAACAAGGGATATCATTAGATGTTTCATAGACTCCGTAATATATTTGTAGACTTAAATAAGATAGTGGCAAATAAATTCAGAGCCAGCTCCCTGTATCCTGGCAGTATCGACAAATCTGCAAGTATTTTGCTATATAGTTGGGAGAAGCTTGCCAACTACTGCTACTCATTCAGTTTTGCTGTATCCGTCAGCGATAACAAGTCCACAGACCTGCTTTCAAAATAATTCTTAAATATTTGCCCAAATGCATCTTCATTCAGCAAAATACATGCATTAAGTCTCTAGTATGTTCGATGATTCTGACTTCAATCCAATTCCAGAGCTCAACATTGCAGAGAATAATCCCTCTAATATGATTACCTTGTAGGACATCAATCTAGGGAAATCTTCAAAACTGAGCTTATAAAAAAGAAGAACACTAATTCTTGGCTATCAGGACTGTAAACCTCTAAATTAATGATTGTTCTGTCACTCCATTCTGTGTGACTGTGAAAAGAAATAAAAGCAAGCTTTATCTTCAGCAGTAAAACAGCAATCCTAAGCCTATTACACAGGCAATGCTGGAAAAATGTTCAGGTTTTATCCTCACCTATATGAAAGCCAGACCCACAAAAAGGCTTAATTACTTTAAGTGGAGGTTAGTCAAAAAAGTCCAAAATGGCGATTAATTAATCCATGAGTACCTCATTAGATCCCTGAAGCTTCAGGAGGCACCCAAGCTTTTCCCAATGAGGTTTCACACTGGAACTATTACAAGCTTTGCAGGCTTTGCACTTCATTATTTACCTTCCCTTTCCTTAGAAATGAGGGTTGCCCGTGACTTATGCATGGTTATGCGCATTCAGCAGCATACTGGCAAGACAGAGTTTGCATATGTAACATACGGCAGGCAGAGCCATTTGCATTTGAAAGAAGGAAGGAGATTTCTGTAGCAAATCACTTCTTCCAGCTGTGCTTTAACAGCAAAAAGTAAGCCAGTTGTCTGTAGCCAAAGACACAACATGCACGGTGGGTTTCGTGCTGTGAATCCAATTTAGACTCTTTGCTGAGGAAAGAACCTCAGCCTGGGAGAGAGTCAGGATTTCCAATACACTCCCTCTTTGGTTCTTCCTTCTGGCTAGTTTAGACATACCTCCCATTCTTACCTGCCTGACTGCGGGCCCTGTACAGAGAAGACAAGTGAGCGACAGACATCTGAAATTAGTGCTGGGAGCTGGACATTTTACTATTACATACTGATATGCTGAACTTTGCTTAAGTCTTTGTGGACCCAAGCATAAGGTCTCTTTATGTCCCCTTGGCAACGTTAAGAGGTTTTGTTTACAAAGATTCAGGATCTTCACATTTACAAGTGCTATTTAATAGTTGCATTTGAATGTAATTATTAAAAGGCATTTGAATTTAAATATTAAAAGGCATTTTAGTTTTTTGTGGCATATAAAAAAATCTATGGAATATAACAAATCTATGACTTGCCTAAAAAGTTTTTACTATTGGTTGCCTGTTTAAAAATTATTACCTAGCTGACAAGTCACATTTTTCAGTTCCAGCGTGACATTTTTTCTCAGTCATGTACTGCGGCAAGCTAAATGTGACTTTGAGGGCCTTAGTGCTGTCACGTGAACAAACATACAGTGCACAAACCTCGTCCTGTTTCCTCCTGACATTCACATCTGCGATGCAGAGCAGGGCATTGTCACCTTTTAAATGCCTAGCATGATTTATTTCAGTAAACTCTGATTTCTAGATGGACTTGAAAATGTCATTGAAATTTGGTGCCGGAATAATTTCAGCCTTATTACACCACATCTGTATGAAACTGGGAATTTGGCTCACCTTATATTAGGTGTCTACCATGTTGGTAGAGAGCTAAGTGTCTAACGTACCATTACAGCTAGCGGCGATCAGCTCAATACAGTCGGTAGAGCGTAGGGAGCAATTAATTTCATCCTAAAGCAGACAGCTTCGTTTGATCATCTGAAAAGCTCCCCAGGCTCCACTGAGCGTATTGACTACATCTCCGTTAGCCGTAAGGAGAGCTTACCCTAAGCAGGCACTTACCCTGTGGACTCCCAAAGTCAGGGTCAGCCTCGGGTGTCAGAGTTTTCCACAGCGTGAGGAGTCAGGCTTCAGCTACAAATTTCAAATTTAAATCATCTTTATAAAGGCAGAAGTAATTATATATAATATACCTCGACTAAATTATGTTTTATCCCTCTCTAGCTACACCCGAGCTTTGAAGCGCCCTTCGTTGCGCCTCAGGGCCTGCCAGCGCCCTCTGACAGGACCGGCCACCGGGAGCGGCCCGCAGCCTTACCGCGGGTTAATTAAGGGAATGCATGCCGTCTATACGGTTCGTATAGGCTTCGCCCTGGGGTTAGCTGGTGGCGATCCCGCTCGCT